AAGCCTTCTACATTTACCTTACTGATAACACACACTCAGTAAATCTATCACAGTAGTCAGCAAAACATGAAACCTCAATAACCCTTCTGAAACAAGTCACATAACCAACTGATCAAATTCCAAATGTAATAACAGCACAATGAGTTCACAGAACACTTGCTTTTCTAACAATAAAACCAAGTATTGAGTCAAATCTACTGCATTTACCTACAGTCCTTGAAAGGACTTCTTTGAGGACGGCAGCAGATTATCAGTCAAAACATAGGATATAAAATAATTAGTTAACTCTTTCAGCATGGGCTTGGTCCTTGAGACCAACCTCGTAACCATTTTGTGCTTGCTATAGTTTCATGCTGTAACTTTTAAATTAGTAAGTGAATGTTAACAAAATTTGGCAGATTATCAGTAAACATTTTTTTTTATTAAGTCTTAAGGTTTGTAAAGCAATGTTTTTCTCAAGTTTTGTTTTCTTTTCACATGTTGCCTATTTATCAGGCAAAGTAATATTCATTTTAAGACTAAAAAATACTTACTTAAAACATAGAACAGGAATTAAAGAAGTAAAGTAAAGAATTATCTATTCTAGTTACCACCTTTGTACTAGTTTGCTGATTGATGTAGGATGCTAAGCCTTTAAAAATTTTGCATGTGGAGGATATGAAAAAAATAATACTTTTTAGGTTTTAGTTATACATTTGCATAACTAAAAAATCACAAATTACTACATTAATACCACAAAATTCAACTATAATTTATCAAGCTTAGTAACTATGATGTATTTTAGTCTAAATTAGAGCAGACTAAAGACACACCCTACCTCAATAAAATATTGGTTCAAAAGAAAGAAATGGTGCCTAGCCCGTTAAAATGGCTGAGAAAGCCACTAGGGGACATTTTGAGTTTCCAATTGGTTATTCATATCATATATACAAGTAAGTATATATATGGGAATGTTTCCAAAAATGGAAAGAGGTGAGCAGGTCACCACTGTGTTTGATTTATTACATGAGCAATATCTTAGTAAACAGAAAAGATAAGACATTCTTATTTTATATTCTAGCTTGTCAATATCTGTAATTTGAGTTTCTAATGCATATGAAGCTATAGACTTAGTATTTTGACTTCACAAACATCTAATTTGAACCAGTGCTGCATTCAACATACTACATGACACACAAAAGGCAATGTTTATATGTGTTTTTAAATATATACTTTTAAATTAAGAAATTGAGTAATGTATAGTAATAAATTTGAATTATAATCTACAGTTTGATACCAAAGTTAATGATATAAATTCATGAAATAGTAGTTTAATAAAAATGTGATTGCGAGTCAACAACAAAATGACATGGCCTTTCACCCGTGACCTGTCTTGAAATGGTTAATAGTATTTAAAGTAGTGACAAACAAATTTAGTAACTAAATACTAATTAGACTTGAGTGATCCTATGGGCTACTAACCACAACAACGAGCATCCCTGCTAATAAAATGCTATTCTGAAATTATTTGATGTGAGAAGTGTTATAACATTATTAATTGTAGATTTTAACTAATGAGCATTTAAAAGAAAACAGTGACATTGTTAAGATATTGAAGTTGGAAAGTTATAATTATCCTAAATGAAAATATATTTCTGATAGGTACTTCCCTCCTCTCACAAGATTAGCTTTTTCTTGTTTTGTACTGCAAACTTTTACGAAAACGTATGCCACAAGCTTCTGCTGAAATCCACAGTTCCAACACATCTCTCACGTGACTCCCTCTTCATGCGACTACCGAATTATCACTTTGAAGTTTGGCAGTAGGCACGAGCACCAGAAGATTGTGGGGAGGACAGGTGGGAAGTGTGAGAAAAGGGAAGTACCTATCAGAAATACATTTTCATTTAGGAAAATTATAACTTCCAATAAGGTACTCTCCTACAGCTCACAAGATTAGCTTGAATCCTACATTGAAATAGAGGAAGGACCAGTGTGAGTGAAGCATAGGTGTATCACCCGGAAGCATCTGGAAGACACCCCTGAAATGAGAGAAATAGATCAGATGATCTAAGGAGGGGTACCACACCACATCTGAGCAAGGTATCTCTTTGCCAGGAACCTTGACATGATCAGAAGGAACAGACATGGTGGAACATTAAAGGTAGCACATCTGCATAGGAGAGAATAGTTTAAATCTGATCTTAACCAGAAATCAGAATCACTCAATCCCACAATGGAAAGTGAGCAAGTGAGGATGTGTCCCAAGGTGTAGAATAGCTGGGATGCAATGGACCGTACTCGGTAAGTCAACTACCTCAAAACCTCACTTGCTGAGTACCAACATCCTCATAAAGGTAGTATGAGGATCAAATTGTCTTCACCTCAAGTCCCAGAGTCAAGAGAGAACCTAACAATTGATTCCAGAAACTCACAGGGTAGCCTTATGCCATGGATCCAGAAATGTGTCACCCAGATCCCAAAGGAAGTCCATTGCATGCACTCAACCCCCACGACTGTGAAACCAGCCTGAAATGCCTCCAGGTCAGTAACAACCACTAACTGGGTTGATGGAGCATGTTGGAGCAGAAGGGAGGAGGAAGTGGAGGGATAAGCTGCAGTCAGAGCAACCAAGGAAACCAAGGTTTGGCAGGTCAGGAGGAAACAATGAGAAGGACCATGCATGGGGTGGCATAGATGAGGGAGACCACCCGATACAGCAAATGAATGGGAGGGTAAACATAAAGGAACAGATGAGACCAATCCTGGCTGAAGGCATTGACAGTCGATGTTAGAGGATGGGGGCCCAGGGACCAAAACCAAAGTAATTTGTGATTGAGGACAATGGCAAAAGTATTGATGTGAGGTGTCCCCAGATGTAGACAGAGCCACTGACAAATGGCAGGATGCAGGGAACACTCTGTGGGATAAACACGATCTGTTTGGGAAAGACGATAAGATACGAAATGGAAAGTATCCAGTACATGACACACCATCAAACGCATGTGATGTGTGTGGGCCTAATAAAGAAGATCCATAGTGCAAAATCATATGGATCTGGACCTGGTGACACCTTGGTGATTTATATAAGCCACCACAGTAGGAGTGTCAGTGGTTGGCTGGCTAGAGAAAGAAATTGATCCAAAGCCCGATGAACAGCCAGGAGTTAGAGAACATTGATGTGAAGAAAACTCTTCTCCACAGAAAAATTACCCCATACTTCTTGGTAATCCACCCAGACACCCTAGATCTGAAAAGGATGGATCCATAAACATATGTAATTCTGGCCACAGAGAAGGAAGTGAGACTCCCACCAATGTGTGGGTCCTGTTCACCACCAATGTAGATCGTCTATAAGGGATGAGGGAAGGGATATAGAAGTATCCTAGGGATCCCATGCAAGATTCCATTGATCTTGAAGGACCCATTGAAGAAACTGCATATGGGCCCTGCCCAGGGATATGAGAGTGGTCACAAAGTACCACATTCCCAAAAGCAAAAGAATCTCACAAGCTGTAAATGAGGGAACAAACAGGGCTTCCAAACAGCCCATTCCATAGAATGGAGCTAGAGAGGAGAAGATTGGGCTTGACTAAGATGGGTGTTGAAGAAAACACCCTAATGGATAAGGTATTGGGTAGGACAAAAGAAAAAATTCTCCAATGTGACCAACCAGCCCACCCGCACAGCTTCAGCCAGGAGCTGACAAGTGTGACAAGCCAATTCCTGTTCAGAATGAGCAAGAAGAAACCAGTCATCCATATAAACATGAAAGTGTAACCCACTGGCATGAATGTATTGAGCAAAATAGTGGACCACATGACAAAACACATATGGTGCTGAAAGGTAAGGTGCAAAACTGGCACAAAACCCATGATAGACAAACCAAAGATATGGGCGTGAATGCTCCACCACAGGAATGTGTAGGGAAGCGTTGAAAATGTCCAACTTGGTAATCCAAAAAGACCTTGAGAAAATGCCCACCAAAGAGAAAGGTATGTCTCCATGGTAAATCGAGGAGTGTGAACATGCTAATTGAGACGGGATAAATCGATGTCCCCGGTCTTCCTGGTAACCACAAACAGGCGGGAGTAAAACTAACTTGTTTGAGCTGGTTCGATAGCCTGATTTGCGATGAGGCCCTGAACCACCTCGGGCAGACACTGGTGTATCGAGGGATCCCAAAGAGAAGGAAATGAGAAAAACAGGATAATGGAGGAAGGAAGAGAAAGTGAATAACATATCCCTCTGAGAGCACCTTGTGAATCCAGACTTTGGCAATAAAATGTCCACACAGATGAAATTCAAGAGATGAGCCCCCTGGTCTGAACCAAACACAATCACTGGTACTGCTGTAGGCGGATTGTGTGTCATTGAGTAAATCATCAAACCGTGGCACTGTAGAATGGTGGAACTAGAAGAAGTTGAGAAGGGGAAGGTTGGGTACAGGAATAGGTGCCACACACTATCCCAACTGCAACAAACAAGCTACCAAGTTAGTAGGAGTAGAATGTTGATCGGTTGAAGCCACCCATGACTCCAAATACTCAGGAACAGAGTCACCAAACACATAACACTGCAAAAACAGCATCATGTAGAGGTCCCCCAAACCCCACCATGGCCCAAGAAGTCCCAACAATAAACAAACCATGATTGAAGCTCGAGAGCTGAAAATGACAGACGAGCCAAAGTAGAAGTAAGAGTGGAGAGGATTTCAGTAGAAAACTCCTCAGGGTTCCAGTGAGGAGCCTTCGACAGGTGAAGGGAAGAAAGGTACCTTAAAAGGGTCATGAAAGTGAGACGAAGGCAATAAAATTGGGCTTGGGTAATTTGGACAGGGTAATTTGGGTTTGCCTCCCAAGCAGATAGATCCAACCCAAACCACTGTTACTCAAAAAAGGAAAAGTCCACCCAATGCAAGGATAGATGGATCTGAAGTCCATGGGGGGGTGAGGCATACTAATGTCAACCCCCAGTACAGAGGGAAATTGTTCCGCGTGAACCCGAAAACTGGGGGGATGGAGAAGAACTAAATAGGGTTGGCAAGTTGTTTAATGAAAAGGGATGGTCTAGAACCATAGGAAACAGGTGTAAGAGACAAAAAACACATACGTGAGAAATAATGTATGAAAAGAACGATGACTGACGAGCTGAATCATCAGGTAGTGAATGGGAAAGCATGGTAAACTTCTGGTGGGGGAGCAAACGATCAAAATCGTCTATAGCCTAGCCCTGCCCAAAAAGCTCAGGAGGAAGTCAGCGAGAAAGGGTGGAACATTTACAGCTCAATCTCCCTGCGAATGAGCAACGGGATATCCCCCGATGGATTGCCCGTGCCGTGGTAGAAAATATGGCATCAGACACTGGTGAAGTACTGG